GAATGCCATAATTGCATTACGGTAGTGTAATTGCTGTCTGACGGGTAACCATCGTAGCTCTTTAAGAATAGGCGTGACGTGATCGTACTTTCTTTTGTTGCTAATGATACGGCATGCGAAGTTCTGCACAGCTTGGACTTTGTTCAGGTTACTCTCAGTGGTATTGCTCCACACTATTGACTTGTAGACCATGAGGGGGAGAGATCTATAATTGATTTAGTCTATTACCTACTCATCAAACAAATATGAAACATTGGATGTAAACAATTTTCAAATTAGGCTGAAAATGTGAGTCAGTCACTTTTGTGAAGGACACTTATTGCCTATGTACCATTGAATTCAAACTAATCTTTTGACTTGTTTTGTTTTACTTGTAGATTGTGCCACAGGTCTCTGTCGTCTTGGTACGTTGATTACTGACTGGGACCAGAGAATGTATCTCCTAAATAAGTTGATCAACTCAATCACAGTGAATACTTTGACTCAGGTAAGTTTCAGTTGGTGTAAATGATCTGACGTTATGTACAATTTATATTTTATGTCAGTCGGTGTAAATGACGTTATGTACAATTTATATTTTATTACCTTTGATACTAGCAACAGACTCAGAATTTTTATCATAAAAAATTGTATGTTAACAATAATGGATATAAATTTATTTTTATTTATATCCAATAGTGCTTATAGTATTTAATAGTTAGTTTATTTCTTGATGTTAAGATATTAATTAATATTCTTTCCCTTTTCAGGAAAATGTCAGTTGTCTCAACACAACACTCGTATTCCTGATGATTGCCTTCAAGCAAGGACACCTTCCTGCCTACCTCAAGGCCTTTGTACGAGAAGAAAGACTCCAGAAAAATCCAGGATTCATTCTCAAAAATCTCAGGTAAATAAAAACTAGCAGTTTCAGTCACTTTCAACTAGCAATTTTAAATGTACTAAGTTTCCTGTGAAGGTTGTTGATGGCAATGATGATGATGAAAAAATGCCTTTTCTATAGACCTTTTGCAAATTTGCTTGAATGATTCAAAACAATGGTTCTAAGACGGGGTTGGACGTAATAAAATACAGTAAAATTAATGTTAAACACATCAAGTCCATCCTCGGCTTGGAACCATTGTTTTGGGTCACTCAAGCGAATTTGCAAAAAGTATTATTCTTTCTTTATTTCAAAACTTTCCTTCATTGAAATATTTGAAATTTATTTCTGATGATGTTGCATGTTTTTCTGCAGACGTCTCCTGGAATTCTGGAAGACCCATTACTTGAAGAGAGGAAAGGATTGTTCTGCTCTTGAACAGGTAGATTTTTCAATTTTTTTGAAAAGATGTATCTTTTTATTTATACACGGTAGGCTTTAATTAAAGCTCAGAGGTCGTGGGGCAAACAAACTCAATTCACATCAAACAAACTCAATTCACATGGTGGCGACTGCAGGGCTTGAACCAATGACCCAAACCGTTGGACTCACAGCAGTCAAGAAAGACGACGCGTTAGCAGCATATGCCAACCGTGCCACCGTGCTTGATTTCAACCACAACGCTAACTCTGTTCTCTCATCCTCCATTGCTCGCCACACTTTCTCTATACCTCTTCCAACATGCTTCTAGAGCTCTARCTTATTAGGTTATAATTATTAAATATCTTATATTAATCTATGTTTTTTAAATTCACTTTCAGAGTTCCTGCATCAGTTTTGATCAGTGGAAGAAAGTTGTCGACATCCTCTTACAAGACAACATTGAAAGTACATCATCCGTTTTGTACTACCTTTCACCTCATGCAAGCCCACCAGCGCGACACTGCTAAGATCACACATGGGTATAACACAAGCAGATCATGGCATCCCTCACATTATCTTCAATGTTCTGTGAATGACATTTATCTTCAAGCATGTTTTGTAGAGAATTTTAGAAATTGAGGGATGATAGTTAAAATCGAAGTGACCAACTGCTTTTCCTTTAAAATATACAAAATGGTGCAATATTTAGAACTCTTTTAAGCAAAAACTGAGGGCTCAAAATAATTCACAAATGCTCAAAGATGACAAATTGCATTGCAGTTTAAATTTGTGCTCTACGCAATGCCTGTTGTCAAAAATTAGCTGAGATTTGAAGCGTTTATTTTCCATTAAATAACTTATTTTGAGCCCTGAGATGTATTTCGTAATTAAATCCAACCATCTACATCTTTATATGGTTGTCTGTGCAGGCACAGGGAAAAAGTCTAACATATATTTTTTATGACGATACGTAAATTATAAAAATCCAACAGTCCATTAGTGTATGGTTCTAAAAAAATAATAGAATTAAATTTCTGTGTTATGGACAGGATATTCTGTAGGTTTTTTTAAACAATATTATAAAATCATAAATAATTATTTTTAGCAATAACAATTTTTAGCGCTGGTATTTCTTGGTGTTACTAAATTAACTCTGAGTTGGGCATATTGGAATGACTGTACATATTAAATAGTATTTTATAATAGTATAATATATGATGTAAATAATAAATAAAGAAGTTTGAAATATGTTTATTTGAGTGTGTTGTCTTGTTGATTTTATCTAGTAACTTGTTGTTGTTGTTGTTTTTGTTCCTTTGCCAAAGTGATACACGTCTTTATCATGTGACATCAGGTCTTCCAATAGACCATTTTCGAATTCCAAACTACCGCTGTGTTCCTTGATTACAGACTCATTTGCACAGGGTTAGCCTCGCATCAGTGTTTAAATATTCACAAATACCAACGGTAAAGTAAAGAATGCAAAACTTCAACAATACAAAGACTTTGAAACTCGACGGGCCTTGACTGGAACACGTGAATATTCTGCACAAAATCGAGGCTAACCCTGTGCAAATGAGTCTGTAATCAAGAAACACAGCGGTAGTTTGGAATTGGAAATGGGTCTATTGTTGGACTTCAATCAGCTGTTAAAAGTCTTTGAATCTCATTATCTGCTCAAAATGCTGGTCAAACACTGACCACCATGTGATGTCAACCATAAAGAATTCTATTGAAAACTTGTGATTCTGCTGATGAACATTCTACATGCGAGACAGGAAATTACCTTGAGTGAAACCCAGCCTCTGAAACTTGTTTTATTTTCTGTCCCAAATAATAATAATGGGGTTTTTTCTATAGTGCATTTCACAATGTCTCAATGCACTTTACATTGCAGTGGAGGACTTTACAGGCTGCATATTAAGGCGCTATTAGCAGCCGTGCAGCAATACAATCATGAGTGATTTATTACTACACTATGCTTCCAAATTGGGATAGGCTGTTGAACCGGGAGACAATCCCCTACTCTTACACAAATAATTCAACAGGTTCTTTTAATCTATATCTTTATTCAAGGTAACTTTTCATTGCAAAATATCCCTAAAAGATACCAGAAGTCTGAACATTTTCTTGTGGGAGTAAACAGATATGTCAAAAGGCTATTGCTTTTCGCTGCTTTCTGATTGGCTCCACTACGCAACTTTGGAATGTATTGTTTTTATTCTACAATTTGATTGGTTCTTGCTGTCTAAGAGGCCCCAGTTATAGTAGTTGCACTGTAAAAAGGGTGAGAATGGATGTTCTTTGGCCCTTGAAAGATACAAAGAAATGCAAAAATTCTGCATTTTGATGGCTGAACACCCTGATACAATATTCCTGATTTTTACCCTAAAGAGTATGACACCCAACTCCCCCTCCCCCCACTCAACAGGCAAATTCCCTCACCCACCTCACCCCTCCCCAAGGCAGATTTAATTCTAATTGAAAATACATATCCAGCCTACGGTATTAAATATGATAGTTGTTTACTTTTGTCCTCACCATGTAATTAAATAATGAGTTTAAACAACAACCAGGCTTTGTTTCTACTCAAAATAAAATTTCAACTAATTTAAGCTATTTTTTTCAACAGTTTTGTGCACTGTAAATTAACTCCTTGGCCACACTGTTTTGTTTTACCTACAAGTCTAAACCCAAACCTCTCATAGAAAGATATAGCATTCACAGTGGAATATACAACTAGTTCTTTTGCATGCTTTTCTTTGGTCTTGTCTTCCATGCATTTTAGTAAAGTTTGTCCCACTTTCTGTTTTACATGGTCTGGGTGAACATAAAGTGCTCGTATAACTCCAAATTTCCATCCATCTGCAATCAAAATAAAGAAGTTTTTTGCATGATCACATATATAATTTTGCTGACATCCATGTTGGATGGTAATAGATTCCAGCCTTCCAGTGAGGAATTGAATAAATTCATTTATCATGTAAAACAATAAATAAGTAATATATACAGTATGAGTGGCCGTGTTGTATCAGATATACAACCACGAGGCGTGATTGTATATCTGATACAACACAGATAAAAATACTGTATATGACTTATCAAACGTCTAGGTTAGTTCCTTTGTGTAAAAACTTTCAAAATTAAAGTGAATCTGGCCAAGAAAATTGAACTTAAAGTTTATGCAAATGAACACAGTTTTGTATCAGATTTACAACACTCTTCACGGTCGTGATTTCTGTTGTGTTTTCCTCATGGATTATTCATGAGTTTCATAAATATATTAATATATCTAAGCAGTTACAGCACGTTCTGCTGAGAAGTAGCCTGCCATGCAGCTTTTTTAGTGTCAGCTCATTGCTTCACGACAGGCTAGCTGAGAAGCCTCCTCTTTTTTCTTTTCATGATTATGACAGTGAGACAGATTTTTTGAAAGCTGGAGGCCAAAATTCTACTAACTATTATTAATCATAAATAATGTGCACATACTAATTATCAAAAGCACCAAGTCATGCTACCCCCATCTCCTTTTCATTATTAACCCTCTCCATTTCCATTTTGAGTTTTGTATTTTAGATTTTGAAATTAATTGTGTTGTGTGTGTGTGTGTGTGTGTGGAAGGGGG